TCTATATTCGTGCGTCCCACAATATCACTAGCAAAGATATGTTTCGTTTTTAGTGGACAAGGTCCTCAATGGTGGGCTATGGGTCGACAACTGTATGAAAATGAACCTGTTTTTACTCGATGGATTAAATTGATCGATGCTGAAATGGCAAAGATCAACAATGGTGAATGGAATCTATTGGAAGAATTAATTAACAAAAAAAGTGAAAATGAATCTCGTATTAATGATACAAATATTGCCCAACCAGCTTTATTCGCTATTCAAGTTGGACTGGCTGCTTTACTCGTTTCATGGAATATTTATCCTTCAACAATCGTTTCACATAGTGCTGGAGATCAGGCAGCTGCTTTTGTAGCCGGTCGTCTCACTTTGCAAGAAGCTGTTCGTACTGTTTATCATCGATCACGTCTTCAAAATCGTAATACACGACAAGGTGGTCGTATGTTAGCCGTATCCATGAGTGAAGAAGAAGTACAAAATAAACTTCTCAAGGGTATTGAACATCTTGTTTGTATTGCTGTTGTTAACAGTCCTCGCTCCGTCACGTTAAGTGGAGATGAAAAGATTATCGATGAATTACAACAGACACTCTCAACATTCTATCCAAATGTTTTCAAAGCTCGTCTTCGTATTGAAAATGCATTTCATTCTTATCAGATGGATCGATTCGACATAGAAAAAGAGATGTTATCGTCACTTAAAGATATCCAAGGATTTCCTCTAAAAGACTCTCAACAAATGTTCAATCCAAAATGTGCTAAAGCTAATCTTTATTCGAGTGTAACTGGTAGTAAATTAAGTGATCAAATACCAGTCGATGCTCGTTATTGGTGGTCAAATGTGAGACAATGTGTTCGATTTCATGATGCTATGGTATCGATTCAACAACATGATGCTCCAACTGTTTTTCTTGAACTTTCACCACATCCAGTTTTGGCTACATCTATTGGAGAGTGTTATCAGTCGACAAATAGTCAACCACTTATTCTTCCAACATTGAAACGAAAAGAAAATGAACAAGTAACATTACTTACTAGTCTCGCACAACTAACGACATCGTCCCATGTTTGGCAACAATATTTTCATACTCGAGATATATCACCGATGATAGATAATGAACAATTATTTGATGATTTTCCATTGTATTCATTTGATCTTAGTTCATGTTGGTATGAATCAAAAGATTCCGTTATTACACGTTTGGCTAATCGTATTCCAATTCATCCTCTACTCGGTGTTCGTCAATTAACAGGACAAACAAGTGCGACGTGGAAGAGTCTTATCAATATTAATCTACCCCAATACGCTTATCTGAAAGATCATAAAGTTCAAGATGCAATTCTCCTTCCTGCTGTTGCTTATCTTGAACTTGTAACAGCTGCATATCATCAATTATTTCTATCATCAGATAACAAACAATCTTCACTTGTTTTAAAACAAATCAAATTTGTCAAAGCTCTTAGTTTTAGTGAACATGAGTTAACAGAAGTATTCACCCAGATTGTCGTACCAGTTCGTGAGTGGTTTATCTACAGTCGACCATGGACATCAGCTGGTTCAGATAATATGCATTCATCAGGTATGGCGAGTGTTGATGTTGTCGATTCTTTTATCGATCCAGAAACTCTCAACCAATATTCATTACGTGAATTCACTCTACATGCTCATGGTCATATTGAGATGGATGGTGTTCTACAAAAATTAACAACACTACTTTCTAACAGCCCAGCTCACAATACCTGGTCCACGACTGATCCGATCAGTATTTATACTCATCTGTCAACACGAGGCTATCAATATGGACCTTGTTTTCAAAACATACAATCATTATGTGGTACGACATCTACAATTATTGCTCAAATTCAGAGTAATCTTGATGCAATTATTGATCTCTCTTGTTATCATTTACTTCATCCAACTATATTGGATACGTTTTTACAGTCACCTCTGGTTTTGTTACCTGGTGTTGATTTTACAGTCCTTCCAGTTAGTATCCACAAATTTGTTGTTACGAACAAGATGAACACATCTCACTCAAATGTTGAATTGCGTGGAAATTATCATGATATCGTTTGTGGCCTAGGTCAAGAACGAACATATACTTGTGACTTATTGATTCTGCCCAGTGGTGACACGACAATCAATGAACCGATGTTCATTTTTGAAGGTCTTGTATATCAACAAGTTCAAGGTGTACAATCTGGTCGATGGACATTAGAGAAGTCCATTTTTGACAAATTAAATGCAGCTGCTGATTTACCTAATGCAGATCGTTGTGAACAACTAGATACAATTATAAAAGACTATTGTATAGAGAGAATATGGATGGATTCACCAATAACAAAAAGTGTAGCTGACTTACTTCCATCGCTCGATCAGATTCGTAATGATGGAATCGATGTCGTTAGTAACCAAGATTTGATTGAGTCAATTGACCCATTCAATGAATTAGCTGCATGTTATGCTCAAGTAGCAATAAAAGATCTCGATTTAAATCTTGTCGATGATCTGCTTGGTCCTTTATTAAATGCATGTCAGTCTCTTGTTACTATTTTACATGAACAAATAACATTACATTCTATACAAATTCGTCTAAGACATTTATTTGATCGTTTTCCTCGTCTCAAACCACTTCTCATTTCATTGGACACATATGGTTCGCGTCTGAAAGACATTTTAACTGGAGAACAAAATGGATTCGATGTATTCTTTGGAAACAATGAAACTGAACAAACATTGCAACAAATAAAAACTATTATTAGTGGAAATAAAACACAACAGATATTTCATGCAATATGTCAATATCTTCGTATCTTAAACGAGCAGGGTAGTCATGGATCACTCAGCGATCGACGACTACGTATACTTTGGTTTGCTGGTGGTGAACAGTTGGACGTTCTACCTGTTCTTCATCTTTTACTTAATTTATCACGTCAAACAAGTTTATGGATTGATTTACATTATGTGGATATGGATCCAGTACAGCTCGCACAAGCTGAACAACTATTTGAGACACATTTAGTTGATCAAACTCATTTAAATATAATATACGATCAAACAATTGACTTATTTAACAATGAAATCCTTGAAAAAATTCCATTCGAATCGTTTGATAT